CTGCTGAAAAAGGAGGCACTGGAATGCACTTCCATTTGGTGGTTAAAAAGGAGGCACTGGAATGCACCTCCATTTGGTGGTTAAAAAGGAGGCACTGGAATGCACTTCCATTTGGTGGTTAAAAAGGAGGCACTGGAATGCACTTCCATTTGGTGGTTAAAAAGGAGGCACTGGAATGCACCTCCATTTGGTGGTTAAAAAGGAGGCACTGGAATGCACTTCCATTTGGTTGTTAAGCATGAATGAGACAGAAACTACTGGAAACAGTTAGACTTTCTTTTCAGGGTTTGTTCTCCAAACAATCACACACCTCTTTTGGCAGGTGTCAGGTTCCTAGTTCTGTAGCATTGTCTTTAGCAAATGGTGTTTGGAGGTGACAGAAGGATCTGACAGGAATCAGCATGGCTCCGGCTTAGAAACACATAGGTAGAATAGCCTTTCCTTTCATGGACTCCTCCACGAGGCCTGGAGCAAAACAGTCACAAGTCTTTCCTTGCAAGTTGCTCCTACTCACTTCCAGATTAACCTTTAGAAACACCATACATTGAGTGGACTCATAATTTGGCCAAGTTCAACTATTCGGTTGAGTCGGGTGTGTTCGTATTTTGCAATCTGTATGAAGTGTGTGCCTTAGGGAAGTTTGTTTTATTAACATCAGAGTACCAAAACCTTAGGATTTTACAGGAAAACCTACTAGTTCCTTCTCAGTGGTAAGAGAACTTTTTTTTCTGAGGAAGGAATGAAATATAATAAAAGAAGGACGGGAATAAGATGCCATCGGCCCTGCTAAGAGTATAAGTTTTGACTCCTGTTATCAGAGATAATGGCATTTTTTTCTATTTACGTCCATTCTCAGAGACTGCTTGATTAACAAAAACATTTACCAACCATAGAAACTAACCAGAGGGTGAAAACACTGCAGGTCAGTTATAGCTTTTCTAAGCTTGTATTATAGATTGTGTGGCATAAGGGGACAAGTTTTTGTTCCTCACCATTCTACTGGCTGTGAAATCCAAGGTCAAGTTCCTAGCAGACCTGATTTCTGATGAGGGCTTCCTTCCTGGTTTACAGGTGTCTATACCAATGGCAGCAAAGAGGAAAGAAAGCTTCTTGAGTGTCTTTTGAAGATATCAGTTCCATTTATTACGGTTCTTGTCCAGGATCTGATTACTTCCCAAAGGTCTCATTTCTAAATATCATTTTTTGGACTAAGTATTGCTGCAAAAGTTTGGGTTTATGTGTAAAAACATGTGGTCTGAGGGGCAGAAACTTTATCCGTAACATCAATCATTATGGTTTCAGACAAGACCGCAAAACCTCAGTCACTAACATTTTAATAAAAATCTTAAGCGGTGCAGAAATATCTCGAGTGCACACACATGTCCATGTATTTTTTATATAGATAGCTACGCATGCAGGTGTATAGAACCAAGTCATGCTTAATTCAAATAGAGTTAATACGGGTAATGATATTTGAAATCCTAAATTTTTACAGCTTAGCTTTAAGCTCCCCCTGATGTTTCGTCTAAGACCCTCAGTAGGATGGGAATAAGGAAGCTAGCTAATCTGAAAGGTGGGATGTATGACTGTAAGGAATGGGAGAAGGGTGAACAAAGTATAGTCACTGTACTCTACCGCGCAGAGTGAGACACAAGATAGACCGCCACCAAAATGTAGTCATTATGTGTGCAATTCTGTACATCCACGTGTTTTGTTTGAATGAACAATCATATTGATGGCTGGAGGTATGAACCGTCCCGTATGAAGGCGCACGCCTAAGCTTTATTCAGGCTTTGGGGTCTGCTCACGTCCTTTGCCTGCATGGGTCAGAGCATTCAAATCATTTCTTCTATTGAATAGTTACTGACTAGGTCAATACAATCGAGTAGTTATTTGTGCTGGGCCTGACTCCACGTGCAGAAATGGGACAATTAACAAAGCAAGTCTCTTTCGTGGAGTATGGGTAGGGTCAGAGATTGGAGAGGGGAGAGTCGATATAAGCAATAAGGAAGAACAGTAGATTTCAGATGAAGCATAGTGGAGAAGTTAAAATGCCCCTGCTTCCCATCTGTACTTTCTCCCTATCTCCAGCTTATCACGTCTTAGAGACCTAAGAACTTCCTCCACCCAGTGGTTGTTCGGAACCTTTGATCCAGCCCCTACTTCCACCAAGCTGCTGTTTTGCATCTGTTTGTTTGCCTTTCTTATCTTTCTCAGGCAGACTCCAAGGCTTTGAGGAGTAAAATATGTTCTTTTCTTTTTTTTAAATAACATTATTCTTGTGCTTTGGCTTAGCATTAAGACAAGACCCGACATATAACATATATGACCAACCGATTCACTGAATAGTCTGGTATAGAGGTAAAGAAACCCAGTGCTGGGTTTAGCATCCAGCTATCCCTGCACAGCCAAAAGTGTATCAGGAGGAATGGCTGGGAAGACGACCTTCTACAAGATCTTTAGAATATCACCTTTAGAGATGTTTTCTGTGGCCCTGATCCCGTAGTTTTTATGAAAAGCTTCATTTGAAAAAAAAATATTATTGCAACTTAAAATTTAATCAGCTAAAACATTATAAAAATTAAAAAAAGAACAACAACAGGAAGGCTGCCTCGTGTGAATTAAAAGGTAAGCTCCCAGACACCGGAGAAAGGTCCGTTTTTCAGGACCAACGAGCTGGCTTCCCCAGAGAACTGGAGCAGTGAATTACTCAAATAACAACACACCACTGAAAACAACTGCCTGAATGAATTGAGATCTGTACGAGTACTGGAAATTCCAGTCTTCGAAAGCATCCTGACCTCAAAATCATTTTGGACCATCTTTCTGGGGCTCAATCCAGTCCAGGTTGCCTTTTTAAAATTCCTCCTGGGGACTACCAGTCCCAGCAGAGATGGAGGCCAAACCTTTGCCATTTCAATAAGGGAGAGATGTGGGAGTCACCTGACCACAGTCCATGGTGGGCATTGAACAAACCAGACGGAAAACCCAGAGAGCTGCCTGCCTTGAACATAGCAGAGGAAACGCCTCCCACCACTGCCAAAGCATCTGCTGTAAATGAATGCTGAATGTTCCCTTAGGCATTGGAATTTAGGTTTTACTGGATTACAGCTAAAGATGTTTCTTCTCAGAAATCCAGCTAAGTTATGGCTCTGATGTGACCTCTACACTCCCTGGTGATTCCCAGCCAGAAGTACTTCTAGGAACATGGGTGAACTCTGAGTCTTCTTTACATTTTCAAAGACAACATCCAGCAGAAAAGACAAAACTCACAAACCAAATGAGTGTGTAAGCAGCCTGCGGACTTTGACAGAGTGACTAACAAACGCCCACTGGGTGTTGTGGCCGTTGGCCTATATTGTTGAATACAGTTAGGAAGAGAAGGGCAAAATTTAGTAAGTTCCAAAATTATTCCTAACTTATTTTTCTGATGGAAAGTCTGAGGCAGAAAGATGCTGGATTAGTGAAAGTGATGGAAGAGGCATTGCTGGGAACAGTGTGGGGGACTTCTGAATTCCTGTGTGACCTATCTTTATCAAGGAACACAAAGAAGTTCGAAAGCATAGACATAAAAGTTTGGGTAAATATCCTGCTTGGCCTTTAGTATGGTACCCAATGGTCTTGAAATTGAAAATAACTATTGTTCTTATTTACAGAGCATATGATATCTGTCAGCCAAGGTACTAGAGGTTTCTGTAATTGTCTAATTCGATCTTCAACACTATATGACAGATATCATTAATCTCACGTTCAAAACTAAGAAAGCTGGAGCTCAGAAATTTTAAGACATCTTTCTTCAAAATCTTGTATGTAGTAAATTGAAAAGTCATAATTGGAAACCAAGTGTGCGTGACTAAAATTTGCACTCTTCCCCACCTTGCCTGGAAGGATCAAATACTATTCCTCATTAAACATCGCTTCTTTAAGGATAAAGACCGACATTGCAATTTAGGGTTGAGCCATGCAGAATTTTCAAAAGGCATTAGGCCCCAGTTAGAGTTTTTAAACGTTTAATTTAAATGCATTTGAGCTGATTAATTTGCATAACCAAGTCTAAGCTTGTTTCCGAGGAAGGCGCTCCGCTCCCAAGTGTGTCCCATTGGTCCTTTAGTGTTGTTGCAGTTTTGAAGTCTAAAATGACAAGTCGCAGTGGGCTGGGGGGACTTCCTGCCCGCTTTGTGCACCAAACAGGAGAGACAGGATCTGGAGGCTCACACGGCAGGTGCAGCCGCGGAGACAAATCTCCGCCTGCTGTCACACCAAATGAAGTCTTACCGGAGCAAATGACCTTTAGAGGGAAGGGGAGTCGAGAGGAGAGAGGACTTCAGGGCCAGATATGGAAGATGTGCTATAATAATGGTGCCAAATTATCTTACCACCATCGCAGAAGTAAAGTGGTTATTTCCTATGTTGCGTGTGCGGAACAGCTCTGCCCCGTTTGGAGGCTATTCAGTCCACTCTGAGGGCACACTCGTTGAAGTGATTTTTTAGGAATTCTTTCAGAGCATCCCACTGACTATAACATTACTTAGTTTTCACAGACATGATTATAGTTCCACAGCCCTGTCTAAGGTAACGTCAATCATGGCTTAGTACAGTTTCCTTGCTAGAGCTCACGGTGTGACATCTTAGAGCCACCTACCGGGGTAAACTGCCTCTTGGAGGTTTTAAAATCACATGTGTACCAGTCCTTCCCCCTTTTTACGTTGGATGGGGGAAGGAGGAGGAACAAGGAAGGTAGAGGGAAAAAAATATTACTCTCACCAGAGAAAATTGAACGGTATTAAGAAAAATTCAGTGGCGGCTCTTTAACCACTGATTCTCAACATAGAAATTGTCTCTATGTCTCATGAGTCCCTTTCAATTTCATTTTCTTGTTTTGTGAGAAGGGAAAGTTGGATCTGATTTTCTCCTCTGTCTCTGGTGTCCCTGCAAATGGGAACGCACCAACATAGACCTCGAGGGGAGCCACCTGCGGCAGCTTCCTTTCCTTTGGTTACCTTGTAGTTTCTGGCTGTATTCGGTCCTGTCAGACTGGCTCCTCCTCAAGGTGCCAGAGTGGTCCCCAGGAACACTGCTGTCCACCACAGTGTCTGTCTTCCTCCTCTCCAGCATGTACAGCCTGGGTCTCAAGAAGGTCAGGTTCTTTCTCTTGCTTGCCATGGTTTCCTTCCCAGTGGCTTCCCTGGGCTCCATCTGAGGCCCTGAGATAAACTTTTGACTTTTGCAGGCAATGGGTGGTTGCTTAAGCGCCTCAGAGTGAACCTCGGCATGAACTGACCCCCTTCTAACGACACAGCTTCACTGCAGGGTTACCTGTCTGTGACTGCTACCTGGAGTCCCCAAGCTCCACCCCTATGAGGTCATTCTTTTTTTATACCTACCATCCAACAGGGGCAGTTGCCACCTGTTACCCGAGAGACCTGCCGCGCTGAGTTAGGCAAAGCAGGTACTCTACCGTCACATGCTACCGAAGCAAACAAAAATCTCATTGTGTGGGGCGAGGAGCTGGGGGTGGGGAAAGGGAAAGCGAGCAAGGTGGGGCAGGGAGGAGGGCAGGGAAGGACATTAGCAGAACCCACAGCCTGTGGCTTGAATGCGTGCCCATGGGTGTGTGCAGGTGCGCTCTGAGAACTGTGTTGTGACCGGCCGCTGGGAGCCCTGGGCCGCTTCCCTCCGGTCTTCCACCTGTGGCTCTGAAGTCGACATGCCACAATGACAGTTTGCGTTTGCGCGACAAAGGAGACAGGGTTATTTTTTATTTGGAGAATGAGCCCTCAAGTGCTGGCATCCAGCGATTACCTGCTACGATCCGACTGGCTAAACCCTGATCAAATCTCCTCAGAAGTAAAGATTGACATTTGAGAGTGATTCCCCCCACCCCCAAAGGGGTCAAGAACTGGAGAAGAATGAAATCCACCACCCCCTCCCCCAGCCCAGAATCTTCTCTGTCGTTTATTTTCCATGTGCTGCCTTTGTCAGGGGTCCATCCTTTCCTGGTCCCAGCCTTGCCCTCCTATGTCTTGGTCCTTAGGGAAATAATAGCTAGTTCAAGGTTAATTTCTTCAGGATCTGTCTCGTGTAACTTCACCAACGAAGTGTGAGGAAAGGGCAGTGTCCTTTGGAAACACGAGAGGAGAAGACAGGTTTGAAAATGAGGAAGCATGAAGAAGAAGAAATAGAACAAAGCGGTACAGGCTTTTCATTGTTTGAAGTTGTTTTTCCCCGTATTTGTTGAGATCTCCCAAGGGAGAGATGGCAGAAGCTCTGGGAATGTGCTGACTGTATTGTGCACAGCCTTGTTAAGGAAAAGGGAGAGCCTACGGAGAAAGCTAGCTTCTCTTCTGTAAAGGGACCACCAGCTTTCACCTGCCCAGTGTGGCTCTTGCTCCACTCCATCTTCTCATGATTGCAAATGAGGAGAAAGACAAAAACCATCTTCCCAACTCAGGATACGTAGACTGAATATAATTTGCATAATTACCTCAAAAGATAAATGATAAATCCTCACTATAGTGACATCCATATATAGATTGGCATACTGAATGGCTTTTATTTAAGATAATTGAGAACTGTTTTTTTTTTAACAAGCTCTCTGAAGTATATTGAATAAACACCTTTAAGGTGACTTTTAAAGCTGTAAAATGAGGTTTATTATTTATTAAAATATCCCACTTGTTCACCTAGTGACTATTAGAGCTATTTGAAAAATTATGCCATTAAAACTGCAAGACTTTTGGAAAATAAGAGGTGCAGAGATCAAACACTTAGAAATCCAGTCAGTGACCCATAAAAAAACAAAAACAGAACGGAACATAAAATGAGTAAAAATAGATAAAACATTTTGTATTTTTACATGATAGATTTTTTTATTTGCTTGCTTTATTTTTTTATTTTTGTGAGTGTGTGATATGCATATGTGTGTGCATGCATGTTTGCATTTGTCTGTGTATACACTTGTGTACATGTGTGTGAAGAACAAGGTGGTTTGTTGTCAGAAATCACTCTGGCTCACTTCACCCTCCTCACGGAGGCAAACCTCTTAGTCAAACCCAGAGCAGGCCTCTGTGGCTAGTTCTGCTAGCCAGTCATGCCTTGCTGGCATTGGCATGAGTTCTGGGGATCAGAACTCTGCTCCCTTTGCTTGGACAGCAAGTTCTTGGCCCATTGAGCCACCTCCTGATCCCATATTGCTTCAAGGTTTGTTTGTTTGCTTGCTTAGATAGTCTCACTATGTAGCCTTGCTGGGCCTGGCACTCACTATGTGGAGGACAGGGGCCTTGAATGCACAGAGATCTGCCTGCCTCTCCCTCTTGAGTGCTGGAATTAAAGGCACATGTCACCATAGCTGCCATAGCTTTGGTTTTTGTTACAAGATCGTTGCTTTTTTTATATAGGCCGACCTAGAACTCACTATGCTGTATTTGTTCTCTTCCTGTCTCACTTTCCTGGATCCTGGGATTCAGGGTGGGCCACTGTGCCAACCAGGTTGAACATCTAAGAAAAGTGTCATCTCTGCAGTAGATGTAGCCCTTTATCTCAGGAAAGTTCTGCCCTTTGCTTGTGGTTGTGCATTCCAGAAAGGCTGCTGTATGTGAATTTGAAAATGGCAGAAGCATTCGAAATCACAGACATATATAACACTGGATGAGAGATGTGGCCCATGACTCGGTCAGGGATGAGGTTGCTGGTAATGTTTAAAGGATATAGAGCTGACTTTTGTGGTTTCCTAAGTCATCATTTTATATCGATATGATTTTTTTTGCATTAACCTAAGTGTTTCAAATGGACCCATCCACTCACACAGGCAAATTTAGATATGATTTTTTTTGCATTAACCTAAATGTTTCAAGTGGACCCATCCACACACACAGGCAAATGTGTAATATGTTCAAACAGTTCCTTAATCTGCCAATATTTCTGGAACAAATTTCTATTTCTAAAACAAACATCAGCCTTAGTAATCTGGTAGATTTACTGATTTTACTTTTAATGTTGGACACACACACACATTATAGGTTCTGTAGATTCTGTGGCAAATGTATGCTTCATTTATTTGTGATGTTTTATCTTAAATTTTAAAAGTTATATTTCATTAATTGCCTTTGTGTTGGCTTGCAAGTGGAGGCCAGAAGACAGTTTGCGAGATTCAGTTCTCTCCTTCCTCTCTATGGGACCAAAGGAAGAAGTCAGGCCTTAGGGACCGGTGGCAGGCACCTTCCCCTACCGAGCCATCTCCTTGACCCCTTAAACATTTTCTGATTAAGCTTAGAAACAGTCAAAACTGTGGCTTAAATCTGAGATGCTCTCCAGACCACATATTGGGTTAGGGCAATGCTAGCTACCGAGTGATAGAATTCGGGAAATGGATGGATGCTAAGTCATGGACCAAACCCTTGAGGGACAGGTGCATAACAGAATGGTATTACCAGTGGGTGGTGTGAAATAGGAACTGGGCCCTGGTGGGAGGAAGCAGCCACTGAGGCATGCATTGCGAGGATCGTCTTTTCTTCCTTACCCTTCTCTTTCTCTGATTGCTGACTTCTCCTCCATCGCCTCCTTTCCCTAAGATATTCCCAGGAATATTGTAGGCAGCCTGGACTGAAACCTCTGTGAGGCAAGATAAAATAAACAACCGCTCCCGTAGGTCAGCTTTCCTCAGGATTGTATCACAGCGTCACAGACTTACTAACCGTAGTTTATGCCGTCAGTGACTGGGGCAGACATTGCCAGTGGTTTACTGTTTTTATCCTCACACCCACTCCCTGTTGCCATTCTTAGAAGAACCAGAATCATTGTTTTATTCAAGGTAGCACCTGGACCAGGCTAGACCAATCAATCGTAATTTCTTTCTTTCTTTCTTTTTTTTTTTTTTTTTTCAAAAGTGATCATGCTGCTCTGGTCTTAGAGCCTGAGTTAATTAACCCTGAGCATCTCAGGGTTAATCCAGAATAAAGGGCAAGGTATTGATTCTAAAGAAGCTTTTCCTTCGCCTAACAAAAGGAGCATGCGCAGCTGGCTCCAATTTCTTCCTCTGGACTCAATTGTATGTGTGGAGCAGTCACAGCCACCCTGTATCTGAGAACCCAAGATTGATGAATTCTTATACTGTTACACTATTGAACCAGCACTAGCAGCAACTTGCCTTAGACTTTCGCTATTTGGGTAAAATATAGGCTTATTTTCTTCAGACCACTGTTGGGGTGCTTGTGAGCATATTTGAAGTGTTTTTAGCAGATAGTATATAAGCAAAGTGCGTTTCTCTTGCTTATCTCCTGGACATTTACTAAGCCAGTGTATTTAGAATCTCCAGCCTACAACAGGCTTTAGTTTTTCCAGAAATGAAAATGACCGGGTCAGAAAAACTTGGAGCGGGCTTTTTATTGGCTCATCATTCAGGCGAGAGCAAGGCCTCCCTCTAGTCTATCTATATACGCAGGTATTTCAATATAAGGAGTTTATATCACTTGGATAAAATGATGATTCTGAGATATCTAATTGTAAGTCCATTTAATACAGGATGGATCAGGGTTCACTGTTAGAAGCAACATTAGGGAGTAGACCCAGGACTGTCTCCATCAATGGCTTCAGAATCCATTGTTCTCCTGGTTGCTATGGGTCCCAAATCCTTCATTTGAAAAAATGGAAACGTGAGTTAGTCATTAGTGCTATTTACCAAGCAGCTTTGGTTCTTCCCTGAGGCACATGGGAGTATTGCACTGCCCTGTCTCCTTTGAATTTATCTTTGCAAAAGTGTCTTGATTTGGTTAACAACAGCAACAGCAAACTGATTGAAAGAGATGTGTCTCACACCTGGGTAAATGTTAAAAGCATTCTGGTTTGCTCTGGGTTACTTTCTGTCATCTATGGGATAATGGTTTCTCTCTCTCTCTCGACTCTAGAACATAGGTAACTCGGGAAGAAAGCCCTAAGTAATGTATTTGAGCATGAAATAATTCCCGTTGCCTTCGCTGGTAAAATTTAGGGTTTGTGTTGCTGTTTTGAGATGGACTTCACTACTTATCTCAAGTTGAACTGCAGCTCATTATGAAGCCCATACAGACCTTGAACTTGTGATTCTCCTGCCTCAGTTTCCCCGTGCTTAAATTAGAGGTATGCACCACCACACCCTGCAGGGCCTTTAAAAATATTCTAATCACTGTAGCATAGCCTAGACTATAGTTAGGAATGGAGAGTATTGGCCAAGTGATACTTGATTTTTTTTTTAGGTCAAGCATTATGGGAGTTCAGAATTCAAACCCAGAGTACAATTAGGTGGCACATCCCAATTCCAAAATGAAAATA